CCAAAGCCTGACCGAGGACAGTTCCCTTATTATATACACCGATGGCTCCAAAAATGAGAAGGGCAAGGTCGGTGCGGGGCTCTACTCATCAAAAGTCAGAGTCACAGAGCAGTACAAACTAACAGACGGGGTCGCCATATGCACCGCCGAACTGATAGGGATACAGAAAGCTCTGGACTTAGCCCTGACAACAATGCACAAAAAAGTCTACGTTTTTACTGACTCGCTGGCCGCTGTTCAAGCATTAAGCAGCCTCTGCAAAAATAGCAGACCCGACATCAAAGAGGGTATCCTGACCGCAGCAACAAAACTTCGACAAAAGGGGTGCCACCTCACAATCGGCTGGATACCAGCCCACAAGGGAATAATCGGCAACGAAAAGGCCGACATGGCAGCCAAAAAGGGCATCAACTGCGACCGCACCCTACACATAGGCCTAGGCAAATCAGAAGGCCGTGCAGTCGCAAGACAGTATATCACAGAGGCCTGGGACACACAATGGCAACAAGGTGTGCAGGGCAGACACGCCTTCCAACTACTAAAAAAACCCAGACTCGCCTCCCAGATCAAAGACCCGATGAAAATACCAGTCTTCAACAAATTGTGGAACCTCAGACTCGGCAACTGGACGGAAACGTACAAAACGCCGAGGTGTGCCGAATGCAATATGAACAACACACTAGCCCACTTCCTACTGGAATGCTCCAGGTTCGAAGTGCAGAGGCGCCCAATATTGACCCACCTACGAAGCAAAAACACCACTCCCTCTGTCACCGAGATCCTGCATGTAAACAGCGACCCGGACACCCAGAAACTGGTGAAACAATACATAAGTAGAACAAATGCAGGAAAAACTACCAACCCAGCAACAACAACGCATTCAGGAACAGCCCAACCACCAACTGAGAGGGAAACAGACCAGAGGACAGCGACACCCTCTCTCTCAAGCCAGGACACCCAATAAAGGAGCCTCTAAATACTACTCATCTTTCTTCAACTTCCGACCTCACTTTAAGTCCTTTAAAAATTTTCGGAACTTTATCAATTGACTGTACCTATACTCATGTCCACTACATCTTTACCATTTTTTACAAGAAGAAAACTTGTCTAAACAATTGAAAAAAAAAAAAAAAAAAAAAAAAAAAAAAAAAAAAAAAAAAAAAAAAAAAAAAAAAAAAAAAAAAAAAAAAAAAAAAAAAAAAAAAAAAAAAAAAAAAAAAAAGCCGAACGCACATGCACATGCAAGATGCGAAAACATAAAGGCACAAAAAAGATGTTAAATGTGGGGACCTGAAAAGGGCCGTGTTTTGGGACGCTGACAGGCTTGTTTGTATCGAGATGGTAACACCGGTGGCGCCTTGGTACACTCAGCGATGGCGGGCTGGCCAACAAGATACGGAAATGACATAAGGATGACAGGTGGCACGAACACAGGCGTATGGATACGCCACAATGGACAAATAACTATTGGACAATCCAAACAAATATACGCAGTCCCAAAATAACCGCCGCTCAATAATGGAGCTGGTTAGGGTGACAGGAACTTTCTTTTTTTTTTAAACAAATCGGAGAAAACAGGCCATCAGGCAGTTAAAAAAGGACCAAGTTTGGAATTTTTGTTTCTTTTCATACGATACGATACGATACCACTCTGAGATTATTTTTAAAAGAAATAAACCTAGATGCAGATTTAAGATACCCTGTTCATCGTCTAAAGAAGATATAGTTACAGAAAGACTACACCAGTCTGGTCGGCCTGACAACCGGTGCGGGCGGGTAGGGACGACATGCCAGCAAGTTAGATGTCAATTAAAGGGAGACAACAGGAAACTTTGGTATCTATGGAGCTCTTCAACTGTTGCTAAGTCTGAATGTAAACAATCCCGCCCTCGAGGGTATGGTGACTTAGCCGAGACTATTGACAAGGGATAAAGAATTCACGAGTGAAGTGATTACATTTAGACTGATGAATAAAAGATTTGCTCAGTACAGAATCTATAAGTAGGGATACTGATATTTACAGTACATTTGGCTTAATGTAAGTAAGGTTCTTGTTGATACGTTTGTATTTTTTCTGTCTTTCATCACACACTGGTCAACTAGTAGTAGTACAACAAGACACAGTGCTGCTGACGACTGATTGGTAAAATAAATATAGATTCAGTAATCCCCGTGTGCATTACCGTGCTCCTTTGTAGCAGAGGGAGAATTGACCCACTGCCATGCCCCCCCCCCCTTCGCCGACAGGTAAGAGCCGACTAATTAGGGGTATTCCTTTCAAAGTTGAAGTACATCTGCCCGAGAGGCAAGGGACCAACAGTCCGCACCCAAATAAACCATCTGCCCGAGAGGCAAGGGGCCAACAGTCCGCACACAAATAAACCAGATCTGTAAAATTGGTGTGCACAAAAACTCAAGTTTTGGATCAAGACTTAAGTGCAGGAGAGGACGAACATCGAGAAAATTTGCCGAAATGGCTCTCCTTTAAACTACGGCCGGTTAGACGGCCGGTTAGCCAGAGTTCAGTCCCTTGGCTGCAGTACAATTATGGAGTGGAACAGAGGGATCGACACAAATGACATAATTACTGTGTGTTGGCGATAGACAGCGTGCAGTGCCCTGCTGTCATTATAGGGCTAGGGTGTGGGTTAGGGTTTGGCACGTCCGGCTGTATGTTGGTCCTGACCACGGCCAGCTCCAACTAAAAATCTGGAGCTGGCCGTGGGTTTGGGTTAGGGTTTGGGTTAGGGTTTGGGTTAGGGTTTGGGTTAGGGTTTGGGTTTGGGGTAGGGTTAGGGTAACACATGTAACGTCGAGTACGTACCCATAATGACCGCCGCTATATCTGATAATTTTGACCTCACTGTGTTTTGTGATTCGTGCCTTCTCCAGTCCGTAATTGCACTGTAGCCAGGGGACTTAACCCCGACTAACCGGCCCTCTAACCGGCTGTAGTTTAAAGGAGAACCGCCGGAATTTGTAGCCGGTAAATGCTAAAAGAAAAAGACGAAAACATTAATTATTAATCTTATTTATAATTCAGTTGGAGCCGCCGTGGGGTAGCGTCCAGACACTTGCCTGCCGTGGTGTAGCGTCCAGACACTTGCCTGCCGTGGTGTAGCGTCCAGACACTTGCCTGCCGTGGTGTAGCGTCCAGACACTTGTCTGCCGTGGTGTAGCGTCCAGACACTTGTCTGCTGTGGTGTAGCGTCCAGACACTTGCCTGCCGTGGTGTAGCGTCCAGACACTTGCCTGCTGTGGTGTAGCGTCCAGACACTTGTCTGCTGTGGTGTAGCGTCCAGACACTTGCCTGCCGTGGTGTAGCGTCCAGACACTTGCCTGCTGTGGTGTAGCGTCCAGACACTTGTCTGCTGTGGTGTAGCGTCCAGACACTTGCCTGCTGTGGTGTAGCGTCCAGACACTTGCCTGCCGTGGTGTAGCGTCCAGACACTTGCCTGCTGTGGTGTAGCGTCCAGACACTTGTCTGCCGTGGTGTAGCGTCCAGACACTTGCCTGCTGTGGTGTAGCGTCCAGACACTTGTCTGCTGTGGTGTAGCGTCCAGACACTTGCCTGCCGTGGTGTAGCGTCCAGACACTTGTCTGCTGTGGTGTAGCGTCCAGACACTTGTCTGCTGTGGTGTAGCGTCCAGACACTTGCCTGCTGTGGTGTAGCGTCCAGACACTTGCCTGCCGTGGGGTAGCGTCCAGACACTTGCCTGCCGTGGGGTAGCGTCCAGACACTTGTCTGCTGTGGGGTAGCGTCCAGACACTTGCCTGCCGATCAGAAGGTTGTGGGTTTGGGTCCTGACGGAACCAGACTTTTCTCAAAAATGTTCTTGGCTTCCACACTGACCCAGCCTTGAACAGGTACCAGGTAGAGTTCTGTGAAGTAAAGGCAGCCAACATGGTGCTGACCACATCACCCATCAACTGCCTATTGCTCTATAACATTAGGTCTAGCCCTATATGCCTAATACGCATGAAGACTTTTTATTTATATATAATTTAGTTATAATATTAAATGCAAGTAACAGTGTTTTTGTGTGCAGGTAAAAGGTGCCAGTAGTTACAAAAGAGGTGTCTAAATATAGATGCTAGTACTCACTACAAAGTTTCTGTTACTGTAGCACTGAAAAATAAAATGCCTAAAAGGGGTTGCTTGTGCGTATGCCAGAACAAAGCCATGAAATTAAAAAATAATGATTGATCAGAAAGCACAGTTGAACTGAGTTGAAGACATTTGTCTCTTGTTCACGAAGGTCTGGTTTCATTCATGGTGTGGACTGTGTCGATGTTTGCAGGTAGGAAAAATCTGGAGTACTCTCCCCTGATGCTTGAGCTGTGGATCAGGGGGAAAGGGCAAAACATAAACAGTCAAATAGCCTGGACATCATTTCTACAGTCTTTACAATAAATAAACATCGTATTTACAGTCTTTACAATAAAAAAAACATATCTACAGTCTTTACAATAAAAAAAAACATCATATCTAGTCTTTAAAATAAATAAACATCATATGTAAAGTTTTTACAATTAAAAAAACATAATTTCTGGTCTTTACAATAAATAAACATTGTATGTGCAGTCTTTATAATAAATAAACATCGTGACTGCAGTCTTAATAATAAATAAACATTGTATCTACAGTCGTTACAATCAATAAACATCGTATCTACAGTCTAATGTAAATTGAAAGTTCATTAAAATAGACATAACTGTTTCATTTTAAGATGGTTCATTGATTTTACTTCACTGCCAGCAGACGTTATGTCACCATGAGCAATTCTGTACCGACCAAGTGGAATTCGTTAGAGATACCAACCATGCAGATAATGGACAGAGAGATTCAATGAATCCTTCTAAACCGCAGGGCACAGAAATAGGTCCTGTTCTGAATCACCTTGACACTGCAAGATGTACGAGGATTAAAATGAGACAAATGGTTTCAATAATTTTTTATGTTTTAAAGACAGTTTCAGTTTAATTACAGAATACAAAGAATGAAAGCAGAGAGAGTTACAGAACTTGCCAAGGAAGTTGAGCATTTGTCCAGACTTGGAGCTTCTAGACTACAACATGGAAACACAGAGAAAGCCTTAGAGGCCTACAGACAGGCTTACCTGAGGTCCCAGCTGCTGGGTCACAATGGCTACATGCAGCGAGCTTGTGCCTTCAACCTGGGCTCAATGTTGATCTCAACTGGCAACTTCACTGAAGGTCTCAACTACTTGAAGCTTGCTGTAAGTTCTCTTTCCTGAACAACTGTCTTCTCCATCGTTGTCACGGTCTCAACTACTTGAAGCTTGCTGTAAGTTCTCTTTCCTGAAAAACCTTTTTCTCCATCATTGTCATCACAGAATGGTTAGTTGTCTGCCATCATTGTCACCACTGAACGGCTAGATGTCTGCCATCATTGTCACCATATAATGGCTAGCTGTCTGCCATCATTGTCACCATAGAATGGCTAGCTGTCTGCCATCATTGTCACCATAGAATGGTTAGCTGTCTGCCATCATTGTCACCATAGAATGGTTAGCTGTCTGCCATCATTGTCACCATAGAATGGTTAGCTGTCTGCCATCATTGTCACCATAGAATGGTTACCTGTCTGCCATCATTGTCACCATAGAATGGCTAGCTGTCTGCCATCATTGTCACCATAGAATGGTTAGCTGTCTGCCATCATTGTTACCACTGAACGGTTAGATGTCTGCCATCATTGTCACCATAGAATGGTTAGCTGTCTGCCATCCATGTCACCACTGAACAGTTAGCTGTCTGCCATCATTGTAACCACAGAATGGTTAGCTGTCTGCCATCATTGTAACCACAGAATGGTTAGCTGTCTGCCATCATTGTCACCACTGAACGGTTAGATGTCTGCCATCATTGTCACCACTTAACGGTTAGATGTCTGCCATCATTGTCACCATATAATGACTAGCTGTCTGCCGTCATTGTCACCACGGAACGGTTAGATGTCTGCCATCATTGTCACCATATAATGACTAGCTGTCTGCCATCATTGTCACCACTGAACGGTTAGATGTCTGCCATCATTGTCACCACTCAACGGTTAGATGTCTGCCATCATTGTCACCATAAAATGACTAGCTGTCTGCCGTCATTGTCACCACGGAACGGTTAGATGTCTGCCATCATTGTCACCATAGAACGGTTAGCTGTCTGCCGTCATTGTAACCACAGAACGGTTAGATGTCTGCCATCATTGTCACCACTTAACGGTTAGATGTCTGCCATCATTGTCACCATAGAATGGTTAGCTGTCTGCCATCATTGTCACCATAGAATGGTTAGCTGTCTGATATCATCGTCACCATAGAATGGTTAGCTGTCTGCCATCATTGTCACCATAGAATGGTTAGCTGTCTGCCGTCATTGTCACCATAGAATGGTTAGCTGTCTGCCATCATTGTTACCACTGAACGGTTAGATGTCTGCCATCATTGTAACCACAGAATGGTTAGCTGTCTGCCATCATTGTTACCACTGAACGGTTACCTGTCTGCCATCATTGTCACCACTGAACGGTTAGCTGTCTGACATCATTGTCACCATAGAATGGTTAGCTGTCTGCCATCATTGTCACCATAGAATGGTTAGCTGTCTGCCATCATTGTTACCATAGAATGGTTAGCTGTCTGCCATCATTGTTACCACTGAACGGTTAGCTGTCTGACATCATTGTCACCATAGAATGGTTAGCTGTCTGCCATCATTGTCACCATAGAATGGTTAGCTGTCTGCCATCATTGTTACCACTGAACGGTTAGATGTCTGCCATCATTGTAACCACAGAATGGTTAGCTGTCTGCCATCATTGTTACCACTGAACGGTTACCTGTCTGCCATCATTGTCACCACTGAACGGTTAGCTGTCTGACATCATTGTCACCATAGAATGGTTAGCTGTCTGCCATCATTGTCACCATAGAATGGTTAGCTGTCTGCCATCATTGTTACCACTGAACGGTTACCTGTCTGCCATCATTGTCACCATAGAATGGTTAGCTGTCTGCCATCATTGTAACCACAGAATGGTTAGCTGTCTGCCATCATTGTCACCACTGAACGGTTAGCTGTCTGCCATCATTGTAACCACAGAATGGTTAGCTGTCTGCCATCATTGTAACCAAAGAATGGTTAGCTGTCTGCCATCTTTGTCACCACTGAACAGTTAGCTGTCTGCCATCATTGTCACCACTGAACAGTTAGCTGTCTGCCTAGAGCACATTGTCACCACAGAATGATTAGCTGTCTGTCTAGAGCACATTGGCACCACAGAATGATTAGCTGTCTGCCATCATTGTCACCACAGAATGGCTAGCTGTCTGCCTAGAGCACATTGGCACCACAGAATGGCTAGCTGTCTGCCTAGAGCACATTGGCACCACAGAATGGCTAGCTGTCTGCCTAGAGCACATTGGCACCACAGAATGGCTAGCTGCCTGTCTAGAGCACATTGGCACCACAGAATGGCTAGCTGCCTGTCTAGAGCACATTGTCACCACAGAATGACTAGCTGTCTGCCTAGAGCACATTGTCACCACAGAATGGTTAGTTGTCTGTCATCATTGTCACCTACAGAATGGCTAGCTGCCTGCCTAGAGCATCGCGCAAATTATCAGCTGTATAGCTGTAGCTCTCTATTTTAGTTCCTGGGTCCCACTGTGGGGGAAAATAAGTATAGACCCTCTGCCTACCCAGTAAGCATGTCGTAGGAGTTTACTAATTGAGGTCTTCCTTAGAAGTCGGGATGCATCTGCCCAAGCGGCAAGGAATAACCAGCTGCATAGAAATAAGCCATTAAAACAGATGTATACATTAAACTCCAAATGGACTTTCTGTTAGAGCTACAAGTGGTGAACAAAGAAGAAAATGAAGAGAATCAGCTTTAGTGATGTGACCCAGGGATCTCCATCAAGACTGCACTTTTGAACTAAATGAATTGTCAATCAAACAAACCCAGGACTTTCAGAGCATGAGGCAAATGGTTTGACCACTTTGCCATTAAGGCTTCTATATCTTTTTTACAAGAAGTCACTATATTTTGTTTATTTTTGTACACATTGACAACATTTTAACTGTTTAACTCTCATCACAGAAACCTCCAGAAGGTTATCGTGATGGTAAATCTAATGGTGACTTATATTTTAACTCTGGCCTGGCGTATGAGGGTCTTCAAAATGTGGAGGAAACAAAGCATTGCTATAGTAAAGCCTTGGAGGAGTATCGGTGGGAACACAATATCAACATGGAGGCAGATGTTCTTGGTCGGTTGGGAAAAGCCTACTTGATGTGTGATCAGTTCACTGAGGCTGCCTCCTGTTTGAAACAGTTGATCCATGTACAGGAGAAGTTAGGAGATTATACAAAACAGTTGCAGGTAATGTGAACAGTTTCTCTGTCTTCAAATCCTCATGTTCACCTCACATCATTGAACATGTTATCCTTTGTTTTGTATCTTCTAATGGAGCATAAGTTCATAACTCTTTCAATACCAAACAATGTACTCTACATTTCTTTTCCGTACCCTATAAATGTGATCTACTGGCTGTACCTATCAAAGATAGATGTTTTATTAACCCCTTGTACCTGAATTATTAATTAACTTTGTCTCTCCTATAGACTCTTTATTGAAGTACATCAGACCAAAGTAATTATTGCTGTTAAGCTCTAATCTTTCTAATAAAATGGCTTAAAGTAACAAGTGTATGTTGCTGAGTTGAACACCTTGGGTAAGATATTTGTAAACTTGTTGACAGATGGTTAATTATTTTGAAGCTGCGCTTTTTTACGGTGTGGAACATATTTTTTTATGAAACAATCTTGGCTGCCTCTGATAAATTGTATGGTAGTGTTAAATTATTAGTTTTCTGTCAATCTGCTTTCAAACAGGTGAACTAATGGACTAGTTTCCTTTTGTTCATATTTACACTTGCTGTAAAAAGAGTTATCTACTTGGTTTTGTATTCAAACCTGTTATCTTCAACCATTTATATCTTTTTTTTTTTAAAATCTTATTAGATTTTTTCTTCTTCTTTAGTTGTAAGTGTAGCAATGAGAGTATTACGATGACAACTTTAGCTACAAAATGTTTTCCAGAAGTAAAAAAAAGATTGATTTTTTGTGCAGTTATTTAGCACGTCTGAATCAGAAGCTAGAATATTACTGACAAGAGGACCAGGTCACAAGGATGAGATTATCTTCTTCATCCTAAAGTCCATGCCTTGTAGCGTTGGTTGTTATGTCTATCCACAACCTTGTGTCTTGTGTACTTTCAATCAGCTCTGACACAGATGATTCTGCATGCCATGACTGTTCTCTCAGTCTGCCTCTCCTTCCCTCCAGCTTTTCTACTGTCACGATGTACTCCAGTTTTCTCCTTCTCATCACATGACCACAGAACGCAGGCTCTCTTTTTGATGTGGGCAATTAGGTCTCCAAGCAAGTCATTTTCTTTCAAGACATCCTCATTACTCTTTTTATCTGCCCAGGGTATGCTCATCATTCGTCTATAAAACCAATAATCCAAATGTTTTTCACTAATCTATCAACTGTCCATGATTCACTTCTGTATATCAAGATAGCATTTCTATAGCGTTTATGAAGGTTTTGTTGCAAAGGTGAATGGACACCACTTGAAAACAGAGAGCTAGGCGTACAACATCACTACATCAAGTATGAGAAAAAAAAAAGGGGGGGAGGGGGGGGATTGGTAACTTTCTGATGGCTTGAAAGCTGCACAGCCTGACATGATGTAACTGTAGCAGATGCACAGCCTGACATGATGTAACTGAAGCAGATGCACAGCCTGACATGATGTAACTGTAGCAGATGCACAGCCTGACATGATGTAACTGTAGCAGATGCACAGAGCCTGCTTTCTCGTCTGATTGACAAAGAAAGTTTGCATAAAATGTTCTTCATTTTGTAAAATGCTGCCTTTCCTTGAGCATTTGACATATACCTTCTTTGATAAATCTTCCCTCTGATTTTGTCAGGGGGCCAAAGTACTTAAACATGTCAGCTTGCTTGAGTTTTGACCCATTTACTTTGATGTTGCATTTTGGAGGGTCGGTTTGTATTTCTTTTGTATTTCAATTTCTTTGTTATTACAATTACTTCTGTTTTTCTGCTATTCAAACTAAGACCCTTGTTCTCACTTTCCATTACAATTTTATCCATCATTTCTTGCAATTGTGTTTCACTTTCAGCGATCAAAACTATATCGTCAGTCTAACGCATGTTGTTAACAATATGCCCTCCAACAGATATTCCTGGCACACCCTGTATGAATATAATTATTATTTCACTGCACAAATTGAATAAATCAGGTGATAGTACACATCGCCTTGTTTAATGTTTTGAAAAAACCAGTTCCTTTTTTTGTTGCCATTCGATGTTTTTATTATTTTCAGATCTTTACCATCACTGTTTAAGGTTTCCGAAATTCTAATTATTTTTTAATGTTTCACTTTATCAAAAGCTTTATTGTAATCAATAAATCACAAATACAGATCATTGTTCATTTTAACCATTCTTTCTGAAAGTGTTTGTGCCTTTACCTTTCACAAAACCACACTGCTATTTTCCAATTTCTTGTTTAATTTTCCATCTTATTCTTCTCATAAAATTCTCATTAATGTTTTAGTTACATGACTCATTAAACTAATTTTTTTAGTTTTTTGTTGTTTTATGTCTGACTCTCTATGTCTGGTCTATGTCTGTGTCCATTAATATTTCACCTTCTTTTGTTTTCAAGCAACTACTTGTATATTTACCTGATAATTCTTCTATTCTTTTATACATGCCTTGTGTGTTCTCTCTTTGTTCTTCATTTTCTTTGCATTTATTATTAAGTCAAACTTCTTTCACTGCATTCTGTTTACGTACAATCTCTCTATTTATTCTTTTATATTCATCTTGTTTGTGTTTGTCGGCTCTGTGGCTAAGTAGATGCGAACGCTTCGCTTCGTAATGCCGGGATGCCAGGTTCGATCCCAGCTGCGGGCAATGCGCCTTGCGTTGGTTTCGACAGTGGTATCAAGAAAGCCGACCGTCCAGAAAGCAGTGGCAAACTACTGGATGTAAATTGCCTAGAGAAACCACACAACAGCCAGGGGCTGTTAGGGTTGGTTCTGCCACGTCCTGTAAAGGATACGCAACTAACTGTTTGTGTTTATTTTTTCTTCTAATTGACATCAGATGTAAAATGTCCTCTATCATCAATTTATTTCTTCGCTGTCTTCTTTACTTCTGGTACTATTTTGATGTCTATTGTAATGACTCTTTCAGCATTTGCCATTGTTTATCTATACTGCTTATCTTTTTGGTAGCATTGTATCTATTTTCAACAGAAACGATTATCTCTTACTCATTTCTAGATTTGATTCCAGCATTGCCAAATCTAGCTGGGTATTTCTTGGAGCCCTTTTTAGTTTCTTTAGCTTTATCCTTAGTTTCCCAATGACTGGCACATGGTCACTATTACAGTCTGCACCTGGTCTTGTTTTTACTGACAGCAAACTGTTTCTGTCTCCAATAAAAACTAAAGGATATTGCCCCTTTGCAAGATTTGTTAAGCAGTCATCAAGAAAGGCCTGCAGTCAAGGTACAAATTAAAAGATTTAGAAAAATTTGTTGGTGCAGAATATTCATCTAATATTACATCTCACAACTTGTATTGTTTGTTTCCATCTGAATATTACAACTAACAATTTGTATTTGGCAGTCCCAAGCTGAACAGGCCAGCCTTCTTCTTCGGATGGATCAAGTTGCTGAAGCAGAGAAGATTGCAGATGATTGTTTCCTCAGATGTCAAGGAGACGAGCTGTCCAATAGTATTGGTTAGTGAGACTTTTCATTGTGTGAAAAGAAAACCAATGAAAACATGTGAATTAACTCCATTAAAACATGTGAATAAACTTGTGAACTACTCATACAATAGGTACTGGTTGGTGCACTTGGGGTAGAAGAAAAACTGATTTAAAAAAGTATAATTTGTTGTCTGTAGAGATTTCATATTTTCGTTTTGTCTTATATGTACTCTAGTATCTATTTTTACCACTTTATTTTTGTCTCTCTCTCTGTTTGTAAATGATTCCCTGCTAACTGTAAATGATTCCTTGCTAACTGTAAATGATTCCCTGCTAATTGTAAATGATTCCCTGCTAATTGTAAATGATTCCCTGCTAATTGTAAATGATTCCCTGCTAATTTATGAAACCTTTTATGAAATGCAGCAGTCTTGTATGAATGGCAGACTGCCTGTTGCCTAAGCTCGTGGACCTCTGAACCATATAGTGTGGCAACTGGTCTCCCACAGAGTTCTGCCACTTCCCCAGAGCTTTTCAATATATCCACAAGCAGGATAGCAGCAATAGAGACTGTGGGTATAGGGCAGATCTTGACATGTGTTGACGATGTTGTAGTCTACACACAGGGTAGAGCTTGACATGTGCTGACGATGTTGTAGTCTACACACTGGGGAGATCTTGACATGTGCTGACGATGTTGTAGTCTACACACAGGGCAGATCTTGACATGTGTTGACGATGTTGTAGTCTACACACTGGGGAGATCTTGACATGTGCTGACGATGTTGTAGTCTACACACAGGGTAGAGCTTGACATGTGTTGACGATGTTGTAGTCTACACACAGGGTAGATCTTGACATGTGTTGACGATGTTGTAGTCTACACACAGGGTAGAGCTTGACATGTGCTGACGATGTTGTAGTCTACACACTGGGAGATCTTGACATGTGTTGACGATGTTGTAGTCTACACACAGGGTAGAGCTTGACATGTGCTGACGATGTTGTAGTCTACACACTGGGGAGATCTTGACATGTGCTGACGATGTTGTAGTCTACACACAGGGTAGAGCTTGACATGTGCTGACGATGTTGTAGTCTACACACTGGGGAGATCTTGACATGTGCTGATGATGTTGTAGTCTACACACTGGGGAGATCTTGACATGTGTTGACGATGTTGTAGTCTACACACAGGGGAGATCTTGACATGTGCTGACGATGTTGTAGTCTACACACAGGGGAGATCTTGACATGTGCTGACGATGTTGTAGTCTACACACAGGGGAGATCTTGACATGTGCTGACGAGTTTGTAGTCTACACACTGGGGAGATCTTGACATGTGCTGACGATGTTGTAGTCTACACACAGGGGAGATCTTGACATGTGCTGACGATGTTGTAGTCTACACACAGGGGAGATCTTGACATGTGTTGAGGATGTTGTAGTCTACACACAGGGCAGATCTTGACATGTGCTGATGATGTTGTAGTCTACACACAGGGGAGATCTTGACATGTGCTGACGATGTTGTAGTCTACACACAGGGGAGATCTTGACATGTGCTGATGATGTTGTAGTCTACACACAGGGGAGATCTTGACATGTGCTGACGATGTTGTAGTCTACACACAGGGGAGATCTTGACATGTGCTGATGATGTTGTAGTCTACACACAGGGCAGATCTTGACATGTGCTGATGATGTTGTAGTCTATACACAGGGCAGATCTTGACATGTGCTGATGATGTTGTAGTCTACACACAGGGGAGATCTTGACATGTGCTGATGATGTTGTAGTCTACACACAGGGTAGAGCTTGACATGTGCTGACGATGTTGTAGTCTACACACAGGGCAGATCTTGACATGTGCTGACGATGTTGTCGTCTACACACTGGGGAGAAATATAATAGAAATATTTAGAGAACTGCTGTTTGTTATAGATAAGGTCGGTGAGTGATGTGAGGAGACAAGCTCTGTCATCAAATCAGATATGGAAGCGTTGTTGTTGTGTTCTTTAAATAATAGAATTATTAGAAATGTGTTGCCAAAGATGACAATGAACGGCAGTAATATATAGAGAGATAATTCACTAAAATATCTGGCAATTACTTTTGACAGGAGTGTGTCTTTCATATACTGACTGGAAAAGGTAGTTTTAAAGAATAAGAAAGGACTCATTGCTTTGAAGATGATGGCATCAGCGGCCATGGAACAGAAAACTGCTCTATACACTCTACCAGAAACTGACAGCTAACATTATCTCACACCCAAACAGTGAAGTTGGAATGCGTACAAAATGAAGCGATGCGAGTCATTTTGGGATTTACACAAGACTCACTAATCGTGTACATATGGCATATTCGTGCATTGCCACCCCTTTGTGAGAGATACTAGGTTTTACAGGTGAAAATGTATCTTGAAGTCGCAAAAAACAGGGAACACCTTCTGCATCGGGCCTTATGGGATAGCAAGGGACAGTAGCTGAAAAGAGGTGGCTCTTAGAAGGCACAGGCATAAGTCACAATCAGAACTTGACAAGATAACGCGTTACCGAGCCACCTGACAAAACAGAAGAGCACAAAGTGATAGTTACCTTGGACCGAGGGTGCCGGAAATGGATAACTGGTGAAAAGGTGTCAGTGGTGTAATAGCTGATCAATTAAAGTTCCCACCCAGGTGACATCATAGTATATACAGATGGGTCTGTAGTGAGAGGTGAGAAGAAAGGGTGGGTTTTATTGCAAAGGTGAATGGACACGGCTTGAAAGCAGAGAGCCTTGCGTACAATATAACTACATCAAGTGTGAGAATTGGATTGAAGGCAGTAACAGCAGCTTTCTGATGGCTCTGTGAGTCTGTCCTGGCATGGTGTGATTGTAGCAGACTCACAGAGCATGCTTTAGAAAACTGAAACTGGTGTCCTGCGCATGGAGTGGCTTACATCCCTTGATAAGACCCAGATCAACAGCATATCATGGATTTTATGTTTAGGATGTTCTGGTGTGTAAGGTAATGAGCAGGATGATATTGTAGCTGCTGCTTTCCCTTTGGGGGATGAGCTACTTTATGATAAAGTGAATGTGGTGAAGGCTGTATGGGATCAGATGGACAGTACAAAAGAACAGATAGGAAATCCATACATCAAAACACTGATTGAAAGGTAGGAGGGGAGGGGTGGGGGGGGGGGGGGGGGGGTTGTGTAGAGGTTTTGAAATATATTCATCATTGTAGGAGAAATGGAGGCAGACTATAAATCAGGTTGTAGCTGGTACTATTAGCATGTCAACTCTTCGTTGGCTACTGAAGAAGGGGACGGAGCATGTATGGGAATGTTCTGAGTGCAGTGATATAAATTTTTGATAGATTGATTGATTCATTAATGTACAAGAGCTTTATCTTGTTAGGTTCAGGGATATTCTAACATAGTAAAGGTCCTTCCTTGTGTGCCGCCAAACTACTATTACTGCCTGTATGTCACTTTTGTGGTTTCATTTATGGCCACGCAGACCATGCAGGTTAAGATTTTCTTACTGAAGATTCAAATCTGGTTCTCCCGCATAAGAGTCCAATTTTCTTAACCACTTGGGCAGTTGCTCCTCAGTCTTCTGGAGTGTCAGAGTTCTCATCCTCACAAACTGGTTACTGAGGACAAAATATATCTTGCTTGTTCTACACTGCCAACAAGATGACTTGCCAGTTGGTCCGATGATGGCTTCTGCCATAGTCTGCTGGTTATATATGTGCCATCCATATGTGTATCTGAATCTTATTTCTCATTGATACTCAGACATTTGTTTTAATGTCTGTCATATAAATACACAGTCGTTACTTTCAGATTCAGAGGTTTATTCAAGGGCTTAGTGGAATCAAATTGACAAGTACCATATTTGTTTCTGTTTCTTATTGTAATTTAGGCTAGGCTGGAAGATGTAATTATCGCATGGGTACAGGGTATCTTGGGCATAAACATAGATGAGGCTGGGGGGCTGGGAAAGGGGGGGGGGGGGGGGGGGGGGGGTTTGACAAATTGTTTTTCACAACATAAATTCTCTGCATCTGAGACTGTCTTAGGCACTCTGCACTGTATAACAATATAGTCTGGAAAGATGATTTGATTTGATTCAAGAACCACAATCACAGCACTCGGGGCATTCCCATAAGCGCTCCGTCCCCATCTTCAGCAGCCAGCAAAGAGTTCCGATACTAATGGTGCCAGTAGCATTCTATACAAAGGCGTGCCTTGACACATTTTTCTGCAGTTCTGGACAGATGGAAAGTTGAGAACAATAAAACATTTGATAAGCAAAACATAAAAGGTTTTAGCTACTGAAGTTTAAAATGTACAAATACTAAAAGTATCCAGATTTTCTCCCACTGAAGTTTTATATTTTTCAGCGAATGTGCTCACAGAATTAAGTTTGACTTACACCCAGATGCGCAGCTATGATAAAGCTTTACGGTGCTGCCAGATTGCTCTCCCTCTAGTAGCAGCCAAAGATGCAGATGCCAAGCAAATTGCTATTTTGTACCAGAATCTTGGGGTCATCAACAGCTACTTGGGGCAGTACCAAAATGCCATAGAATACCATCAAAAGGCAGCCAGTAAATATGGTATGTGATGTAAACATGCAAAGATCAGTTTTGAAAGGAAGTATTAGGAACAGATTGCTTGCATGACACTCTTAGTTTAAATGAGTGATAGGGAAAGTGGGAGGCAGCAAAGAAATAAACAAACAACCTTACAAACTTTATTTTCAAAGTGTCACAAATTGGACACCAAGAAAAAAAGAAAGAGAGATAGATAGACAGAGTGTGTGTGTTCATGTGTATGTGAGAGAAGGAGAAAGATACAAAAAGGGGTTAGACAGCAAAAGAATGAATAAGCAAGTACACTTTTTTCCAAAGTTAAGAGAAATAAGGCATACAGGTCTGTCTTTCTGCTGTTTTATATTTCAATTTTTTTCATCAGTCTCTTACTAAATTAATCTCAAACAACAATACCAGATGCATTATAAATGCACAGGAAGGAGGGAAAGGAGGAAAGTGAAGGAATGTTTGTGTAAGAGTGTGACAGAAAGAGCTTTACATGCAGAGAACATGACTGAAAACAAAGAGCTGTAGAGACAGTGAAGAAGAAAATGATAGAAAGGAAAATGAATATGTATGTGAGAGAGAGAGAGAGAGAGAGAGAGAGAGAGAGAGAGAGAGAGAGAGAGAGAGAGAGAGAGAGAGAGAGAGAGAGAGAGAGAGAGAGAGAGAGAGAGAGAAAGAGAGAGAGACATTATGCAATGAGCGCTTTGCAATGAGGCTGACTCATTGTCTAGAAGATGATGTGTATTGTGAATGCTCTTAGCACACATTCCAAATTGACATAATTGGGTCAAGCCGACACCGACTTTGGTACGCTACATTTATTTATTGACATCTTTACACTCACATTGTTGTCCAGTCCTTGTCCTAGTAAACAGCTTTCACACACCACATTACACAGACTTCAACATGCTGGTTTCTCACGCATTCACTGACCAGAATTTGCACAGATGTATCTGGTTCATCTCGACATCATACAGACTGGCCTGGCTGGACTCGGCTTCAAATGGATGTCGTTTTTCTGGTTCTCCTCTCACATCAATCAGTCTCACGGCATTCTCTCAAACAATCTCCCCCCCTTTCACTCCGACAGTTCAACACATACATACTTGATCAGACTAGGGTCTGTCTTATACTGCAGGTTAGTTTCACATGGCAACACGTGGTGGTCCTTTACTTGCACGTGGCGACCTGTGGTCGCTATCATCCGGTTCCATGTGATAACTCGTGGTCATCACCTATCATGAAAACCTCGGTTAATCCGAGTATCTGGAATATCTCGGTATTTTGGTTAACCTTGGGCTTTCCCCCAAACCTTCCCTATCAGGGTGAAAATATCCCTCATTACACATTAAGTAATTCTGTTGATTCCAAATCAGAGGCCACTGGTGGTTTTTCTTCCTATTTTGTTTTACTGCTTGTGCCGTAGAGTGTCACAGAGAGGAGATATATAGAATTGGTTATATACAAATACATAAATATGCATGTTGTTATTTGGCTTCTTACCTGGTGTTTCAGAAAATGTCTTTCATTCTTCTTGTATGAGTGTTAATGAATTTATATTTGTGTGTAAACTGTTGGGTACTGTTTGAAATGCCCAGACGTGGATTTAACCTCATTTTCAAAGAAATGGTTTATGTTCCAGCTGAACTCAGCATCAGAAAATGTCAAGGCCATTGTTTCATCAATATGGGCTACGCCTACAGCCAACTAGGGGACATCCACCGAGCTGGGGAATACTTCCTGCACTCTCTACAAGCTGCCAAGGACTGTGGTGAGCATTAATTCTTATGTTCTGTCAAGGTGAAGTTACAGGGCGTAAAAGTAACACTCACCAAATAAAAGCAATACTATGTTCATGTTATTACAGATTGAAATAACATAATACCAGGTACATGTAATAAGAGGTAAAATAACACAAAGTAAAAAAATAATCTAGATAAATATAATTTATTTGTCAGTTATCTTTTAACTTTAACACTGTAACTCTTCAACTTTAACACTGTAACCCTTCAACTTTAATACTGTAACCTCTGAACTGTAACAGTACAGATCTCTGGATTTCTGTTATGTCTTGTCTCTTGTTGTTGTTCTGCTGATGAAGGCAAATTATTGCAATGTCCTTTGTTTGATTATTGCAATGTCCTTTGTTTGATTATTGCAATGTCCTTTGTTTGATTATTGCAATGTCCTTTGTTTGATTATTGCAATGTCCTTTGTTTGATTATTGCAATTGAATCCGTAACAGAAAATATACTTTGAGCAAAGTTGAACTCCACCATTACTGCACACTGAGCAGTTAACACCCAGTGACACAAAGTTGAACTCCACCATTACTACACACTGAGCAGTTAAAACCCAGTGACACAAAGTTGAACTCCACCATTACTGCACACTGAGCAGTTAACACCCAGTGACACAAAGTTGAACTCCACCATTACTGCACACTGAGCAGTTAACACCCAGTGACGCAAAGTTGACCATGCCCCTGGTACAAATCCCAGAAACCCTGTGTCGCGTGCGAATGCGCACCAGAACGCACCGGTACGGAGTGAGCAAATAAGACGTCAAAACAATACGTAACGTTGTTATGATAATATTGTTGTCTGAGCAGTTGATGTTTATAGTCCGAAGGAGACGGACGTGGGAATCCTTGAGGACGCTTTACCCCGGGATCCCACGGAAGCAAACGTTATATAAAGTTGGATCCTTGAGGACGTTTTACCCCGGGACTCCAAGACCTCAGCAGGAAGCTGGTGAGCACTACATTCTCGGCAGTATGCCGGTATACTTTCATTGCTTAATTCGGACTTGTCCGAGGAGAAAGTAAATCGTCTGGATCTCAAGGTCGGACTGCGACCTATCGTGAGGACATGTCAGTCTATAGATGTACGAGCGAGCCTTGGTTGAACGAGTTGATTATTACGTGCATATGTATTTCTCATTGTATTGCTGATTGTATATGTCAATACAACCGTTGGAACTTAACGCATAGCGTTCGAGCTCTACCTTTTGAAAGCATTGAAGTAACTACTGTTTTACCCCTACTTGGCCTAATTCATCTTGGTACCACACACATCAGCATGAAGCTCTGCACGTCACAATGAAGGACCGCACGTATCACCCTGTTCAACTGAGAAGCTATACTGGGGCCCCATGATGGTTACAAAGTAATCTGAAGTCCAGACTGTGTAGGTCATTATTAATCTACTTTACATTTTTCTTATCTTTTTAAAATTGTAGAGTGTATTACAATTTGAAGAGTTTAAAAAAATTATTCTGCACAAAACAAGGCCTCCTATTTACTCAAAGAACTCCTATGTACCAAAGGAATCCATGTTCAACAGCCAAGAGAGGACAATTCTCGGCTAGGAGGTGTGATTATATACACTGATGGGTCAGTGGCCAGCGGTAGAAAGAGAGGATGGGGCTTCATTGCAAAAGTGTGGAAGAAGGATGTTGAGGAGAGCTTGGCATGTGAAATTTCCACATCCAGCACAAGAATGGAGGTTGAGGCGGTAACTGTGGCCTTCCGATGGCTGGATAAAATCTCAGCCACACGTGTTGTCATAGTATCATGTACACAAGCATGCTGAAAAGGGTGGTAGCAAGCTCTCTTTGTTAGGAATGGGTCGCATCAATCCAAAGGTCACATCAACCCAGAGGTCGCATCAGTCTAAAGGTCGCATCAATCCAGAGGTTGCATAAATCCAGAGGTCGCATCAATCCTGAGGTTGTATATGGTGAGAGTCACATGGATAGTTTGCCCTGGACATTCAGGAGCATTTGGGAATGATCAGGCATATGGGTTGGTTAGCCTGGCCCCCACTTGGGGGTGTACTGCAACAGCACGAGGCAAATGTGATCTCTTGCCTGCAGGGTGAGGTAACGGGTAAACAGATGTGATCTCTTGCCTGCGGGGTGAGGTAACAGGTAAACAGATGTGATCTCTTGCCTGCAGGGTGAGGTAACAGGTAAACAGATGTGATCTCTTGCCTGCGGGGTGAGGTAACAGGTAAACAGATGTGATCTCTTGTCTGCAGGGTGAGGTAACAGGTAAACAGATGTGATCTCTTGCCTGCGGGGTGAGTTAACAGGTAAACAGATGTCATCTCTTGCCTGCAGGGTGAGGTAACAGGTAAACAGATGTGATCTCTTGCCTGCGGGGTGAGGTAACAGGTAAACAGATGCGATCTCTTGCCTGCAGGGTGGAGTTAACAGGTAAAATGGAAGATGTTGAAAATCATCACCTGGAGAGAATATTGCAAAGGGAGTGTCTTCAAGCTCTGTGTGCCACTCGAGACTTGTGGGGAGTGTCTTCAAGCTCTGTATGCCACTCAAGACTTGTGGGGTGGTGTGGGGAGTGTCTTCAAGCTCTGTGTGCCACTCGTATCTTGTGGGGAGTGTCTTCAAGCTCTGTGTGCCACTCAAGACTTGTGGGGAATGTCTTCAAGCTCTGTGTGCCACTCAAGACTTGTGGGGAGTGTCTTCAAGCTCTGTGTGCCACTCAAGACTTGTGGGGAGTGTCTTCAAGCTCTGTGTGCCACTCGAGACTTGTGGAGAGTGTCTTCAAGCTCTGTGTGCCACTCAAGACTTGTGGGGAGTGTCTTCAAGCTCTGTGTGTCACTCAAGACTTGTGGGGAGTGTCTTCAAGCTCTGTGTGCCACTCGAGACTTGTGGGGAGTGTCTTCAAGCTCTGTGTGCCACTCAAGACTTGTGGGGAGTGTCTTCAAGCTCTGTGTGTCACTCAAGACTTGTGGGGAGTGTCTTCAAGCTCTGAGTGCCACTCGAGACTTGTGGGGCGGGGGTGGGGGAGTGTCTTCAAGCTCTGTGTGCCACTCGAGACTTGTGGGGAGTGTCTTCAAGCTCTGTGTGCCACTCGAGACTTGTGGGGCGGGGGTGGGGGAGTGTCTTCAAGCTCTGTGTGCCACTCGAGACTTGTGGGGCGGGGGTGGGGGAGTGTCTTCAAGCTCTGTGTGCCACTCGAGACTTGTGGGGAGTGTCTTCAAGCTCTATGTGCCACTCGAGACTAGTGGGGAGTGTCTTCAAGCTCTGTGTGCCACTCGAGACTTGTGGGGAGTGTCTTCAAGCTCTGTGTGTCACTCAAGACTTGTGGGGAGTGTCTTCAAGCTCTGTGTGTCACTCAAGACTTGTGGGGAGTGTCTTCAAGCTCTGTGTGTCACTCAAGACTTGTGGGGAGTGTCTTCAAGCTCTGTGTGTCACTCAAGACTTGTGGGGAGTGTCTTCAAGCTATGTGTGTCAATCGAGACTTGTGGGGAGTGTCTTCAAGCTCTGTGTGCCACTCGAGACTTGTGGGGAGTGTCTTCAAGCTCTGTATGCCACTCAAGACTTGTGGGGAGTGTCTTCAAGCTCTGTGTGTCACTCGAGACTTGTGGGGAGTGTCTTCAAGCTCTGTGTGTCACTCGAGACTTGTGGGGAGTGTCTTCAAGCTCTGTGTGTCACTCGAGACTTGTGGGGAGTGTCTTCAAGCTCTGTGTGCCACTCAAGACTTGTGGAGAGTGTCTTCAAGCTCTGTGTGTCACTCAAGACTTGTGGGGAGTGTCTTCAAGCTCTGTGTGCCACTCAAGACTTGTGGGGAGTGTCTTCAAGCTCTGTGTGTCACTCGAGACTTGTGGGGAGTGTCTTCAAGCTCTGTGTGTCACTCAAGACTTGTGGGGAGTTTCTTCAAGCTCTGTGTGTCACTCAAGACTTGTGGGGAGTGTCTTCAAGCTCTGTCTGCCACTCAAGACTTGTGGAGAGTGTCTTCAAGCTCTGTGTGTCACTTAAGACTTGTGGGGAGTGTCTTCAAGCTCTGTGTGTCACTTAAGACTTGTGGAGAGTGTCTTCAAGCTCTGTGTGCCAATCAAGACTTGTGGGGAGTGTCTTCAAGCTCTGTGTGTCACTTAAGACTTGTGGTGAGTGTCTTCAAGCTCTGTGTGCCAATCAAGACTTGTGGGGAGTGTCTTCAAGCTCTGTGTGCCAATCAAGACTTGTGGGGAGTGTCTTCAAGCTCTGTGTGCCAATCAAGACTTGTGGGGAGTGTCTTCAAGCTCTGTGTGTCACTCAAGACTTGTGGGGAGTGTCTTCAAGCTCTGTGTGTCACTCAAGACTTGTGGGGAGTGTCTTCAAGCTCTGTGTGCCAATCAAGACTTGTGGGGAATGTCTTCAAGCTCTGTGTGTCACTCAAGACTTGTGGAGAGTGTCTTTAAGCTCTGTGTGTCACTCAAGACTTGTGGGGAGTGTCTTCAAGCTATGTGTGTCACTTAAGACTTGTGGGGAGTGTCTTCAAGCTCTGTGTGTCACTCAAGACTTGTGGGGAGTGTCTTCAAGCTCTGTCTGCCACTCAAGACTTGTGGGGAGTGTCTTCAAGCTCTGTGTGCCAATCAAGACTTGTGGGGAGTGTCTTCAAGCTCTGTGTGCCAATCAAGACTTGTGGGGAGTGTCTTCAAGCTCTGTGTGTCACTCAAGACTTGTGGGGAGTGTCTTCAAGCTCTGTCTGCCACTCAAGACTTGTGGAGAGTGTCTTCAAGCTCTGTGTGTCACTTAAGACTTGTGGGGAGTGTCTTCAAGCTCTGTGTGTCACTTAAGACTTGTGGAGAGTGTCTTCAAGCTCTGTGTGCCAATCAAGACTTGTGGGGAGTGTCTTCAAGCTCTGTGTGTCACTTAAGACTTGTGGTGAGTGTCTTCAAGCTCTGTGTGCCAATCAAGACTTGTGGGGAGTGTCTTCAAGCTCTGTGTGCCAATCAAGACTTGTGGGGAGTGTCTTCAAGCTCTGTGTGCCAATC